AATCTTAAATGGCTTCAGTGAATTAACAAGGAGAATTGTAATTATTTTCTTAGTTTTGTTCATGAATAGTTAAATAACAGTTGGAGTAAATGTTTTTCTTGTAAATCAGATAGGCAATCTAATTCAGCCATTAGGATAAACTAGGTTCTCAGGAAATCATTTCACCAAAAATAAGTGGAATAATTAGTAATGAGAATTTGCTAGGCGCCGGGCACAGTGGTACATGGCTGTAATCCCAGTGGCTGGGGAGGCTGAGGCAGAAGGATCACAAGTTTGAGGCCACTTTCAGCAACTCAGTGAGACCTTGTCTTAAAATAAAATATATTAAAAAATGCCTGGGGATGTGACTCAGCAGCTGAGTTCAGTCCTTAGGACAAAAACAAAACAAAACAAAAACCCTTTTTTAAAGGGATAGACTGACAGTCCTGGCCTCCCCCATTCAGTATAGTAGCCACTGGCCACGTGTGGCTGTTTGAATTTGTTAAAATTATTTAAAATCAGATGGGATTAAGAATTTGATTCATCACTTCCTCCTGAGTCCGTTTCAGGTGCCCACAGCCCCATGTGGCCAGAGGCTGACCTGTCTGGAGGCCCAGGCTCCCAGCATGTGGTCAGGGGAGGAAGCCCCTTGCACAGCCCTGCCCTGGCACCCATCTGCCCCAGCCTGCTGTAGGGAGCTGGTCGGGGCTCTGCAGACCTGGAAGAGCTGTGGCTGCAGGTGGCCTCTCCGGCAGCCCACGTGGCCTTGCTCTTTGCACCCACCTGCTTTGATGGAAGGAATTTCAGAGTCGGAGCTAAATCTCCCGTCCATGCCTTGCTGCTCCTGGAAGGCTGAGCCCCAGTGAAGGCCAGATGTTCTCGGGAAGCCGCGTGAACTTGGTTTTCCGTGGCTAGCGGGGTTCTAAGCCCCAGGAGGTGTTTTCTAAAGCTGCTCTTACTGAGCGTTGTTGCAGAAGACACAGGTAAAGTTTGGGGGGCTGCAGTCTGTGGTTCCCACCAGTGGGAGCTCCACTTGCCCAGCTCCCCCTGCCGTGGCTGCAGCCAGAGCCCCTGACCTCAGAGCCTCTGGCCACCGTCACTAGGCTTTGTAATCCTGCATTTGATTTTTAGGTGAGTGTCCGTGTGCCGTTTGATGTAGGGGAAGGTTTGTGTTTTTAGAAGTTCCCTATCAGCAAGCGAGGAGACTCAGCCAGTGGGTGTAGCAACTGTGCTGTTCCTTGACATGTCCTTAGCCCACTGACCTTGACCTTCCACGGGGGTAGCTGTGCACTTAGGCCCCCGTGTGCTGCCGCGGCTCTGGGAACCCTGCGCGCCTGAGGGACGCGCATGCGTTGATTGGCCTCCACCCAGGGCGCAGGGTTTGGGGAACGCTGGTTGGTGTAATGGCACAAATTGTCGCTAAGCGATTGGGGAGTTGGCCTCTCTGTTGTGGTATTGTGTGCCATCGAGGTTCCTTACATGTAGGATTATTCAAAATCACTGTTTTTGATTTTTCAAAAGCCATTCTCCAAGCAAGCTGTGGAACACGTACAGAGTCATCTGTCCAGGAAACAAGTGACATCGACACTCTTTCAGGTAAGATAGAATTGCTTCAAGGTAGACACACCGGGTCCGCTTAGCAGTTGGGCTTGGTGACATGCCTTGGCGTGGTGTGCGTGCAGTAGAGGAGAGCCCGCGAGGCCCTGTCCTCCTGGGCCCGCTGGGCCTAGTGTCGCTTGCCTTTTCATTGAAATGGGCGCCTCCACCCACGGGCGGGGTGCTCTTCCTGGAAAAGGGAAGTGTGCCCCGGAGATGTCTAGTAGCACCCATTCTAGAAGTCCCCCCGGGTAAGGCCCTGGAGAAGAAAACTCTTCCACATTTGACATTTTGAGACCTGGGATGGACAGGGACTTCACAAGATGTGTCCTGATGGCAGGGTGTCGGTCCTTGCAGTCATCCCCCTCCTGATTAATAGGATTTGCTTTCAAGAATCAAGGGGGAATCTTCAGTGGCCCTGGAGTCACACCTGAGGATGTCCTTTCCCTTAACTACTCACAAGACAGGACACAGCTCCATGTTAGACGAGGAGGTTGGAGAACTGGTCCCTGTTCTAGGCCTGGGTGTCGCCGCTGTGGGGATGGAGCGGCCCCTCCTCCCCAGAGCCTGGGCATCCTGTGTGTCCTACAGAGGTGGCAGGTGATTTGCAAAAACAGTCCAGTTCTCAAGTGGATAATGTATTTTTATATCTCAATGAATTATAATAATGAAGTAAGTAATGATTTTCATAAATGAAAATATGTTTTCCTTTTCTTGGATGTTTCAGTTACAGTGAGGTAAGTGGATGTTTGATTTGTCACCTTTTGATAGGATTTATTCATTCAAAATGAAGGTGATTATTCTACAGACAAAACACTAACGTGGTGGCCCTTAGAGCATGTGGACAGTAACAAATTGGGTGTCATCTTTCAGTCAAAATAATTAGACGTCCCTTTCACAAAAGGTAGGCGCTGTGTGCATGTGCCAGGGGGTTCCAAGCTCAGGTTCTGCAACTGGTGAGTGGGCTGGGTTTCGGCCCCAGGGCTGCGACCCCTGCTCCTGTCTCCCCGTCTGTGAGGGGCGGTGGCCAGGCCGTCTCTCAGGGGTCTTGAAGATTCTGGGAAAGATGGCTTTTCCACTGGGCCCGCCCCTCCCCAATTCCCCCCAAATGTCAGCTAGGACCAGCTCCTGCAGCATCTGCCCCGTAGGTCTGTGTGTCTGCTCTGTGCTGTCCCCGAGCCGTTTCCTGTCAGAGTCTCAGTCTTCAGAGGACTCTGCGGCAGACAGCTCTGTAGTCACTGGGGTGGGGGCTCCGCTGTGCTTTCCCACGGAGCCTGTCATCGGTTCCCGCAACCCCTGAAACGCCTGAACCTGCCTAATTCACGAAGAAAAAGAGGTTCGTTTAACTTGGTGGTTAGATTACAGGCCAGAAGCCCAAGACCGGACACCTCGTCAGCAGCCTCTGGTGGCCCTCGTGGCTGTGTCACATCAGGCACGTGGCATCACGGCAGGAGGGGTGCAGGAAGGAGAGAGCACAGGGCAGGACAGGAAGGGAGGGGGGCTGCTTCCCATGGCACCTCTCGGGAGAACTAACCAGAGCCCCCTGAGAACTGCCTGAGTGCCCCCAGAGGGTAGCGCCCGTGACGTCACCTGCCCGAGGCCATCACTTTCCCATCCCACACGGAGGACCAGGTTCCAGCCAGTGACCTCGGGGACACACTCAAGCCGTGGCCAAGCCACAGCACCGGGCTTTTCATCCAGGTTTTAGCTTTTCCTGCAGCACAAACAGTATTGGAGCCAGCTTGTGCAGGTGAGATAGGAAGGTCACCTGGGTTCCTTTCATATCCTCGGGGACACTCATTTACAAGCCTTTCTTCAGCCTGTCTTTTTTACAACACTTTACTAATTTGTTGGGTTCACTAAAAACGGACGAGGGTTCTGGTGAAGCTGATGTGGCAGGTGGCGTTCCCATTCCACAGGTAAAGGGGACATTGCATTCATTCAATCGTGTCCCTCAGAGCGTGGCGATGGAGCGTAGACAAAAGTGACGTTTGGGTATCCCGTTTACAGACGTGCACCCGCCCATCACGTGGGTGGAAGTTCACGGTGACACAAAAATGTTCCGAAAGTCAATTCAAAATGCTTTTTATCAAGTTCCTTTTGTCCATGAAAATGACTTTAGAGATGAGTGTCACAGAGGTATGTTGGGTGGCAGCAGCCGGGAGGGGTCCTGGCTGGATTTCGGACGTCTGAGACGTGCCAGGCCCCCTGCTCTTGGCAACGGTCTTGGTTTTACTCAGTTCTCACAGTGGCCTCGCAAAGCAGAGGTGACTCACCTTCTGCAGATGACGGGAGCTGAGGACCAGAGAGACGCGCAGCTGCTGGCAGCTGGACGAGGCTCCTGCCCCGCTGGCCAAGAGGTCCTGGAGCCTTCTGTCTTTCACAGGATTGACGGAAAGGGGGGAAGTTGAGTGGAATAAGAAAGCAAAGTGCTAACTGGCCAGTGTTCCTGTGACTAGAAGCCTGCGGTGGCTGGAGTGTCCCAGCTCTGGGTCCTGCTCTGTCTGGGAGCCTCTGGGGCCTCCTGGGACTTGAAGGGCTCAGCTGAGATGGAGGTCGCACGTAGACGTGTCCCTGGGGGCTTTTGGTGCTGGAAAGGACTCAGAGATGCTTCACCGAGGAGAACACAGTCCGTGTGGTCTCAGGGGTCAGTCTGAGAACAGCGGGAGCCCGTCCTCGCCCACGTCCCCTGCCCAGCACAGCCTCCCATGGCAGCGCAGGGCTCCCTGGAGAGGTCGGGGCTGCAGCCAGGCCTGCCCGCCACGGTGGCTCTCCCTGCCCCGCGGAGGCGCGCGGCCACCCGCTCCCTGTCTCTGCTCAGCCTTCAGGGCGCTCTGGGAAGACCTGGGCAGTGCTGAGTCTGGTCTTGGTCCACAGGTTCAAGTGTCAAGATTCCCCCAAGGATCTAGCTGACTCTTTTGAACCGTGAAGGGGGCCTTGGTCATTTCTTGTTCCTTGAAGTTCATCCACGAAACAGAAAAGTCTGTGCTATTTATTTCACAGTGTGCCAAGGGCACAGGATCAGAGTAGATCACAGCTTTCCCACCTGAGGGCCAGCAGCCCTGGCTGTCACCCTGCTCAGCCAGGAACTTGCTGGAGGCCTTGGAAACACCCCCTCCCCCAGTCCCGGAGCCTGCTGTCGACAGCCAGAGGGGCGGGTTGGTTCTCCCTCCTGGTTCCCTTTAGCTCTGTCATTCCGGGGGGTCGAAAGCCCATCGCTAACACAACCGGATAAAGTCATGGAACTCTGCGGCTCTGTTCGCTCTGAGTTGTGACAACTCAGCGTTCAAGCAGATTACGGAAGCTTTTTGCAAGACGTGCTGCGTCACTCACAGGCCTGTCCGAAATGACCCCGTCCTTCAAAAGTTATCAGGAATTTCAAGATGGTGACAGAGGGACATCCGCCACCACCAAACTCTTCTAAGTGACACCCACCCAGCTAGTCCCTGTCACTTAGGAAGGGTCCGCTGCTGGCCACGTGCCACGCGAGGCAGTAGGGACGCAGGGGCCCAGGCGCAGGCCTGCCCTGTCCCGGTGGGCTCCGGGGGAGCTGCTGTGGTATAAGCCGTGCTGTCTGTGTGTCCGTCCTGGACGAGCAGCACCCCGGGAATGCGCCCGGGGGCCTGGCCCTGTCTGGGGCTCACTGTCTGCCTCCCCTCTGGTCCGTTCCCATTCACAGTGTGGCATTTCTTCTCCGTCCTTTCCAGCCCTACATAGAAGAGATCTGCGAAAGTCTTCGAGGCGACATTTTTCAAAAATTTCTGGAAAGGTATGAAACTTTATGCGTACATATGAATCCAGTATCGTATGGGTACGGGTCACTATTCCGTCTGTGTTGTCCTTAAATGTGTGAAACGCGGCTGGGCCGTGGCTCAGTGGCAGAGCGTGTGAAAGGCCCTGGGTTCCATCCCCAGCACTGCAAAGAAAGATTTTTTTTTTTTATAAAAGTGTTAATTTATTCACCCAACAGGTGTTTGTTGCTGTGACCGATGTGCCAGGCTGTTCGCCTGTTTCTTCAGTATTTTAAATCCTAATTTGGGGGTTTGTGTAGCTCCACGTCCCTTTGAGTTTCAGGTCTTTAGCTGCAACCTATCCTGAAGTTTAAATAGAGCAGAGGACCTCGGGTTTAAAACTGTCCTCTCAGGAGACCTTGCTAATGCCAGCGTGCCTGTAGCTTACTTGGTTGATTTGTTGGGTTCTGGAGGCGTACCCCTGACTGAGGCGTACCCCCAGTGGGGCGTGCCTGGGCTTGATTCTCTTCAGGGCTAGGTGATGGGGTTTGTGATCCTGTGCGTCATTGACATCCCCGGTAGATGGGTTCCTTTGGTCACTCGAGCTGTAGCTTGTGTTTGTCATAGAGTTCTGGAGTTTGTAAGAATGTGCTCTCCTCCGCCTTTCCAGCCCCCTCCCAGCCAGCTGCAGTGGTTTGAGCAGGCCTCTGTGAGCTCTTGGCATTGGACTTTCTAAAACCGAACCTGCATTCACACTGACCGCCCTTCCCTCCCTAAACCTGGCTAATTTCCACTCAATGGCCAAGATGATGGTGGCTCACGATGGGAGTGGCTGTGCACCCTGAGAACAGAAATCGCAAGGAGAACAAGGGCTACTTTCTTACATCCTCTGAGAACTGAAACAATTTAAAAACAGCTGTGCTATGAGTCCACTGGGGTTTGGAGATAATTTTTCTTCCAAACGAGGGCCCTCCTCTGAGTAGCAGCAGAAACTTGACCAGGACGCAGCCCAGGGAAACCACGGGCCTGGGGCGCATCCGGCTGGGTGGCCTCGTCCCCGCCATCTCCACAGCAGGTGCTTCTGAGATCGACCTTTCCCTCCTGTTGGATCAGCCTTGCTCTGATGTGACCCCGGGAAGCAGGGAAAGTCTGGGAAGGTCATTAAGTGGCAGGAGGCTTCTCCCTGGTGACTTGTCACTCAGCATGGTGACCGACCCTTCCCTCCCAGGCTGACATACATAGTCTGGTCCTTTTCCCGCTCAGTTTGCCGTTCGGATGAAGCTGCGGGGCGTGTCACGGAGCAGGCACACTGCATGTCTGGAAGAGCTTATAGTTTGATGTAAATCAGTTTTCTTTGAAGTCGTTTTATTCATCCATACACCTTTTAGTTCTATTTCTGTCAGTGAATTCTCAAATTAAAAAAAAAAAAATCCACATCAGGTCCTGAGTTTGAAGTTGGGGTTTTGAAGAGCACCTGCCCTGTAAGAATGCGGTGGCGTGTCCTTGGGCACATTGGTGGAGGTGATTTCCCACCTCTGTGGACTGGTGGGCAAGAGGGAGCCCCCAGCCCAGGGCCCGTCTCTGCCTCCTCCTGAGGGGGTGGATGGGGAGACCAAGAGGCCTGGACCTGGAGGAGGCCAGTCCCTTCCGGTGGAGGCCCCTGAGTGGAAATGCCCCCCCCCCAGCTGCACCAGGCACTTCTGGGTCTTTAGCCTTGGCCTTCCCCAGACACTTTGGGGGCATCTCAAGGACTTGGCTGACTGAGGCCATGACGGGTCCCTCTGTCCCAGGAACTCATTAGGAATAATGAGTGCTTAGGTCTCGCTGCTGGAGCCAGCTGAGCCTGGACTCCCAGGGGCCACCTGCAGAGGTGCATTCACAGTCGGTCCTGCCGGTCCTGCCGAGTGGGCAAGGCGTGTGCTTCTCTCTCCCTGGTGCGCCAGCCCTCCAGGCAAGTTCCAAAAGGTGTCAGACCACCGTCTCCAGCTCTGGTCTCCAGAGTTTGTGAGAAGTGGGAGGGCAGGCCCTTCAGACTGAGGGAGTTTGCGTGCCTGCGGCGGGTCCCTCGGTTCGGGGGACGCCCAGGCAGGGCTGTGCCCTGTGCACACAGGGTGCTCTGGAGGGCAGCTTGGATGCCTCCTGCTGATCCACCGCTTCATAGAGATGTTGGGAGGGTTGGAGAACATTCTGAAAAGCCACCTTATATCTGCTGACACAAATTGCCACAGGATCGCAAAGAATTCTTTTTCTAGAAAAGAAAACACTTTTTTAGTTGTGGATGGACACAAGACGTTTATTTTATCTGTTTATTTCTATGTGGTGCCAGGAATCGAACCCAGTGCCTCACACATGCCAGGCTAGTGCTCTGCCCCTGAGCCACAGCCCCAGCCTGCAAGGAGTTCTTCTGGTTTTGATTTTTAGTGTGGATATTACCATCAGGTTGTCACCCTATTCCTAAAGGACCCTCATTGCTAACGGCCTGTCCAGGCAGTCCCAAGGGAACCGAGCTCCTGGCTGTCTCAGACGTGTTCCAGAGAGGGCGCTGGGGCCTGCACTTGCACTTCAGAAGGACTTTCTCCTTTTTGCTCTATTGAGCCTAAGAGCTGAGCCCCAGCCCTCTCCAGAGCACTCTCTGCCTGCAGGAAGCCTGCCCGGTGGTCATTTCTCTCCTGTCCTTCTGACTTATCTGTGAACGGATCTCCGTGTCTTTGCTGTGCTGGGGTGGAACCAGGGCCTCATGCCTGCGGGGCAAACTCCACCACTGAGCCGCTCGCGCCCCTGGCACAATCAGCGGCTGGCAGACACCTTGCAGACACGCGGCTGCCTGCTCGGAAAAGCCATCTGGTGGCGCCATTGTGGGGCGGCAGTGGGGTGGGCGCTCTTCCTCCTTCCTGGGTGAAGACACTGGCCGAGCAGCCGAGGGTAATCATGGGAGCATCCCAGGGCCCTGGGCTGAGGGCCCCCTTCTCTTCGTGTCTCTGGGAGCCGTACTGAGTTTGGAGGAAGATGCTCTGGGGCCCGTGGATCTGGGCTCCGATATGGCTCTGCCCACTCTCAGCTGTGACCTTGGCCCCTGGGCCCTGGGCGGCCTTGGTCTTCCCAGCTGGGAAATAGGGAGGCCTGGAAAGGAGGTAGGTGAGCAGGCCCGGCTCACGGGAACCTGTGCCCAGGTGTTTGTTGCTCTTAAAATTATTTGTAGACGCTAATTTTTTGTGTCATTCAGAAGCTCATTGTCCAGTCAGGTAGCAGCTACTGGGCACTTGAAGGGTGGCTGGTCTCAATTAAAATGCAAAAGACTCACCGGCCACTGAAGGTGCAGTGTGCAAACAAGAATGTGGAGGAGCCCATGAGCAGTGCCTCTTGATTCCGTGTTGGAGTGCTAACGTCTTGATGCCCTGGGTTACATAAATTATTGAAATTGAGCTGTACAGGGCTGGGATATGGCTCAGTTGGTAGAGTGCTTCCCTTGCAGGCACAAGGCCCTGGGTTCAATCCTCAGCACCACAAAAAATAAAAAATAGAAAATCCTACATGTGGCTCGTGTTATCTTCCTGTTGGAGAGTGCTGATTCCAACAAGAATCCCATCATAGCCTGTGAGGATTGAAGGAGAGACATGGACTCTTTTTATTTTAATTGTGAACTAAAGCCATGAATGCCAGTGAGGGCTTTGTGAAAAACAAAGCTATTGAAGAAAACTTGTACTGGGTGGGATTGTGCAGGCCTGTAATTCCAGTGACTTGGGAGGCTGAGGCAGGAGGATCACTAGTTGGAGGCCAGCCTCACCAACTTATTGAGGCTCTGGCTGAAAATAAAAAATAAAGAGGGCTGGGCATGTGGCTCAGGGTTAAGCCCCTAAATTCAATCCCTAGTAACCCCCTACACACATTAAAAAAAATAATAATAACTTGTGCTATTTCAGAAGCAACCCAAATAGTGCCATTCTAGTGTATCTTAGGACATTGTGCTATAAATCCAATTGTTTTGATATTAATTTTTCAGTAATTATTTTTATATTCTCTTCTAGCGACAAATTCACTAGATTTTGTCAGTGGAAAAACGTAGAATTAAATATTCATGTGAGTATCATCTTTTTCTTTTTTTCCTTCTTTAAATAAAAACCTTGCCCTGGCTTTCCCTCGTGAGAAAATACTTCCTTCTGGGTCCTGCTCCCAAGGGCTCGCTGCCTGACCAGAAGCTGCCCTGCACTCCCGGGTGTGTGGAAGGGCGGCCCTCCCGCCCACTGCAGTGAGCCCTGTCTCATATTCATGGAAGAATGTGCTTATTTACGCCAGAAAGGATTTTTTTAAGCAGTAATTGACCCTTTGACAAAAATAGTAGTGAAACTCGGACCTCCTGCCTGAGGCGGCTTCCATCTTCCTTCCTGTCCCTCTCCCTTCTTAGGGCTCCTTTCCCTTCTCTCATTATGGGATGTAATACTAAAAGGTGGGCCTGCGCCCAGACGGTGACGTCATTGCAGATGCAGGCTTCCTCTGGCGGTCACCGAGGAGGAGGGACGTGGTCCGGGCACAGCCCCTCCTGCCCACCCCACCCGGGGTCTCCGTGTCAGTGGGTCCGGGTGGCCTCTCATGTCACCTCCACGGTGCAGCCTTC